CAACGCCCTTGTCCAGGTCGCCGCCCGCGAGGACCCCAACGCCTTCGAGACCCGCACCGTCTACCAGTCCCTCAAGCAGAACATCGACGTCCTCGGAAAGCCGCCCAAGCGCTTCTACGAGGCCCTCGCCGAGTTTGCGACGGACGAGAAGGAGAAGGAGATCCTCAATGGTCTCGGCGGCCAGACCGGCGCCGAGGACTTCAAGAAGCGCTCAGAGGTCGACACCCTCACCTACGTCGACATCCTGCAGGAGTTCCCCTCGGCCCGCCCATCCTTCCACGACCTCGTCCGCATCATCTCCCCCCTGAAGCGCCGCGAGTACTCCATCGCCTCCGCCCAAGCAGTCACTCCCAATTCCGTCGCGCTCATGATCGTCGTCGTCGACTGGGTTGACCCCAGAGGCCGCACCCGCTACGGCCACGCCACGCGCTACCTCAAGGACCTCCCCGTCGGCGCCAAGGTCACCGTCTCCGTCAAGCCTTCCGTCATGAAGCTGCCCGCCTCCCCCAAGGCGCCCCTCATCATGGCCGGTCTCGGTACCGGTCTCGCCCCCTTCCGCGCCTTCATCCAGTACCGCGCCCTCCAGAAGGCCCGCGGCGAGGAGATCGGCTCCATCCTGCTCTACCTCGGCTCCCGCCACCAGCGCGAGGAGTACCTCTACGGAGAGGAGTGGGAGGCCTACCTCGACGCCGGCGTCATCACGCACCTCGGCGCCGCCTTCTCCCGCGACCAGCCCCAGAAGATCTACATCCAGGACCGCATGCGCGAGTCCATGCGCGACCTGGTGCAGAGCTACATCAAGGACGAGGGCAGCTTCTACCTTTGCGGTCCCACCTGGCCCGTTCCTGACGTCACCGACGTGCTCATGGAGGCCATCAACACGGAGGCCAAGCAGAGCGGCAAGAAGGTCAACGCCCGCAACGAGATTGAGAAGCTCAAGGAGGAGGACCGCTACATTCTCGAGGTCTACTAGATTGTCGTGCTTGGATATATCTGCCGGGTTTGCGTGTGTACATATAGTCATCTACGGCTGTGGGCCTTGCGAAAAGTTTCTTTGATTACATAGCCGGTTGTCATACTTAAGCACTCATCAATTCTCTAAACAATTAGACTCATCGCACCAGCGTCGTGATATTTCCTTTCCAATTGGTGCTGCCATGCTAGCTTGCGCGTGCTTCCCAATCTCGCAATGCATATTTACGCTCATCGTATCCAATCCACCGTATTAATGCGTCAAAGAAGCCTCAAACAACCCCCTCAACTGCTCCCTCTCCTTCTGCAGCTCCGTCTCCAACCCGGGGGCGAGCATCAGCACCCTGGCCTGCGGGATGGTGCCCTCGACGAGATCGTCCAGGTGCTCCGTGCCGAAGCCGAGCTCCTTGATGCCCGCGGGCTGGTCGCCGAGGTCGGCGAGGAACTTTGTCAGCGCGTCGGCCAGCACAGCGCCGGCGTCCTCCTTGCGCACGCGGGAGACGTCGACGCCGAAGGCCTCGGCGGCCGCGAGGTGGCGCTCCGGGTTGGAGGCGCCGGTGAAGCGGAAGACGGCTGGGGCGGTCACGGCGACGGACACGCCGTGCGGGATGATGGGGTAGTTCACCTTGTAGCCGGAGTGCTGGTAGCCCGGGTTCTGGCCTGAAATGGGGTAGGACATGCCTGTTGGGGGGTGGTCAGCATTTCCGGGACCTATGGCTTATTCAAGGGGTACTGGTCATACCGTGGCAGAGATGGACTCCGGCGTTTCCGAAGCCAACGCCGGCGAGCGTCGCGGCGAGGAGCATCTCGCTCTGGGCCTCAAAGTCGTCCGGGTCGCGGACGGCGCGGGGGAGGTACTTGACCGTCGCGCGCAGGGCGTGGAAGGAGAAGACGTCGCTGATGGGGTTGGCGCCCTGGTACGCGGGGCGGAGGATGGGGTTCTTGGGGCGAGGGACGCGCTCGTGGAAGGGGATGGCGGTCCAGGACTCGAGGGAGTGGCAGAGCACGTCGAGGCCGGAGGCGGCCTTGACGGCGGAGGGCATGGTGCGGGTGTTGAGGGGGTCGCAGATGCCGAGGGTGGGCTTGAGGTTCCTGTGGGCGACGCCGGTCTTGGCGCGCTTGGAGACGAGGTCGAAGATGGCGGTGCCGGTGGTCTCGGAGCCGGTGCCGGCGGTGGTGGGGACGGCGATGAGGGGCTTCAGGGGCTTGTCGACGGGGCGGCCGTTGCCGAGGGGAGCGTTGACGAAGTCGAGGAAGGGGGCGTCCGGGTAGCACGAGTAGAGGTTCATGAGCTTGGCGGTGTCGATGACGGAGCCGCCTCCGACGGCGAGGAAGGCGTCCGGGGCGAAGGGGCGGGCCCAGTCGATGGCCTCGCGGACGGAGCTGTCCTTGGGCTCGACGCGGGTCTGGTTGTAGACCTTATAGTTGATGCCCTCGCGGTCGAGGGCCTCGCGGACCTGCTGCATGGCGAAGAGGCCGTCGACGGTGGGGTCCGTGACGACGGCGACGCGCTTGGCGCCCATGTTGGCGAAGTCCATGCCGACCTCCTGGGTTGAGCCCGGGCCGAAGCGGATGGAGGAGGCGGCCATCTCGAAGGCGTACTCCTTCTGGGAGTGGTCGACCGGGGTTGCGAAGCCGCGGGAGGAGGTGCGCAGCGGCCGCGGGGTGAAGTTAAGCGGGGAGTGGCTGTGGTGGTGGCCTGGGTTTGTGTGGCAGGGGCATGATGGCGGGTGGGCTTGGATTGTCCTCAGGAGAGAGACGGCGCGGGACGCGGCCTGGAGGATGTCGTGAGATGAGAGCTCGTGAGGGGGGTTGGGAGGCGACTTACGTTGGGGATGACGCGGAGTGAAGGCGTCATTGTGGGCGGTTTGTGTATGAGATGCTGATATACAAGGTGTAGCACTATGGTACAGATGGATGGCTTACAAGATTGGGTGAGATCGAGGCTGGATGCGAGATATGAGAATCACGAGCGGCAAATGTGAGATGAGAGATGATGTGAAGCTCTCGGTAAACTCAAGGTGGAAAGGGAGCGATGTCGGGATTCAGGTCCCGCGGCTCCTCCGCACAGAGCTGCCCGCTCAGGCTAGGCCATGTTGGAGTGCCCATGGTCGACTACGCCGGGGGGAAGTGTTTGGAGGCGTCTTCCCCCGCATCGAGGCTCCACTTGCCGGCCGAGCGATCTAGATGTGGAGCCCGTTTGCCGAGGTACACTAACATGGATCGAATTCTCTCCAAAAGTGCCCCTACTTTTGAGACTTGTTCTCCGTCATGCATCTCGAATGCGTCTGCCTGAGGGGAGCAGTTTTCCTACTTACTACAGCCTGAACTAAACATTCAGGCAGGCGCTGGATGACCACGCGTATTGAAGAAGTAAGACGGCGAGACATCCACTTACATCCACGCAAGCGGAGTACGTTATTCCCTGGTAGACAACACTTCCTTGCACGACCTGCCTGATGAAGCAAGTCGGAGCGCTCAAATCGACCAATTGACCAATCATTCACAATGGTTCATGATGATTCATCCGCCAAAGTGGAGGTTCTCACGATCCTTCGCACGACGAGTTTGCGATGAGGACTATGTCATTGTGCAAATCGAATAGTATAAAACGAAGGCCATTGAATGGAAGAGAGAAAGAATAATCAAACAGGTCAAAGCGCAGCTCAGCACGCTCAATAATACCCTATTTGACTTATAAAAACATCGCCATGTCCACTCAATCAACCCCCCGCGGCCGCATCCGCGACATCCTCCCGGATCTCCACCTCGGAACCTGGCCGGCCGGTCCCAAAAACTCCATCACCGATATCCCTGGCATCCTGGCATCCACACAAGAATTCCGCACCGACGAGGGCGTCAACACCGGGGTGACCGTCATCCTGCCGCACAAGGACTGGTTCAAGGACGCCTGCTACGCCGGCGTCTTCCGCTTCAACGGCTCCGGCGAGCTGACCGGGTCGCATTGGATCGAGGAGACGGGCCTGCTCGCCAGCCCCATCGTCCTGACGAACTCCTTCTCCGTCGGCGACTGCTACCGAGGCATCTACGAGTACTCCATCAAGAAGTATTCCAATGAGAAGGGCGAGGTGGAGTGGTTCCTGTTGCCCGTTGTCGGAGAGACGTTTGACGGGCATCTGAACGACATCTCGAAGCTGGCCGTCAAGCCTTCGGACGTTATCAACGGCATTGAGACGGCCACGGATGCTCCTGTGCGGGAGGGCAACACCGGTGGTGGCACTGGCATGATCTGCCATTACTTCAAGGGCGGCACGGGCTCGAGCAGTCGTGTTGTCGAAGGACTCGACGGCGAGGGCAACAAGAAGAATTACACCGTCGCGGCGCTGGTGCAGGCCAACTACGGCAAGGCGGCGCATCTACGCATCGGCGGGTTCCCCGTCGGCCGCATCCTCGAGAAGGAGAAGGCCGACTCCTTCGTCGAGGTCGCCAAGCACAAGGACAAGAAGGACGGCTCCATCATTGTCATCATCGCCACCGACGCGCCCCTGACGCCCATTCAGTGCCAGAGGCTCGCCAAGAGGGCGACGGTCGGGCTGTCGAGGGTCGGCGGGTATGGCCACAACCCGTCCGGCGACATTTTCCTCGCCTTCTCCACGGGCAACCACATTCCTGTGCAGACTATCAGCATGGAGAGACGCGAGGTCGATCCGTGGAAGGCGAAGGCGTTGAAGATTGAGTCCATTGACGATACCAGCATCAACGGACTGTTCGAGGCTGCGGCCGATGCGACGGAGGAGAGTATCTACAACGTGTTGTGCTCTGCCGAGACCATGACCGGTTTCTGCGGCCGGACGATTGAAGCACTGCCTTTGGATCGGTTGAGGGAGATTATGAAGAAGTATGATTCGTAGTACTATCTGGTTTGTCTGCAGTCAATAGCATCGCTTTCTACCCATGGAAGAGTGGTCCCAGAGTGAATAACAGCCGTATCAATCAATACTCGCTCGGTTTCCTCTTATCGCGCAGTTTCTTCCGCTTTACCCAACAGTCTGCTTCGTCACTCGCCGCTACCTTTTGCTGGCCGGTCCCTTTCCGAGGAGATCAGCGTACAGCTTGTGGCAGCCAGAATCTTTGATCGCATTCAGTTGTCCCGTTACTTGTTCCAATACCCTGATCCACTCGTTTTCAGTCATCCGACCCCGGTACTTCATTGCGCAGTCGAGAAGGGGCTGCTCGGCATCCTTGACTTCGCTGATGGCGTTATAGAGTTGCACTCGCGTCCTGACCCATCTTGGCCTGGCTGACTCGGTCAAGCGCTTGGTATCATTGATGTCGTACGGGTTTGGAGCTTGTTGGTAAAGGTCCCTCATCAAATTACTGGCGGCTTGAAACTCGATGCGTAAATCATTCTGGAGCGTGTGCCTTGGAACATCGGTCAGTTTTTCCTCAACAATGATGACAGATGGGGACATACAGAGGTTCCTAAAACTCTTTTCTAGCTTTTGTGGCCTGTTCTCTGGCCTCTTGTTCTTTGGCCTGTCGTTCCCTGGCCTGCTGTTGCCTAGCCTGTTCTTCCCTGGCCTTCTTGGCTTCTCGTTTCCTTGCCCTTGCCTTTGTCCTCTTACTTGCCGTTGTCTTCTTATCTGGGTCAGCCATTGAAGCTTATTCGTGATTTGAGATGCTTTGATTATTTTTTCTCATGTTCTGGCTGACGTTGGAATTCGCGAACGGCAGGTGTGTGGAGTGTGAAGTTGAAGAAAATCAACGACGACATCTTCCAGGGGAGAAGAGGTGGTATGCGTGTGGTGCCCGAGACGAGGTAGCGCCCTCCTAGATCCCCAATGCAGGTTGTTTGGGAAGGCGTTGGCTTCCATATCTTTCAGGAGCTTCTTTCATAGATGCACTTCGGAAAGAGGAACCCAAGAATCGCCAATTTGGCCTAGCGGAGGGGACTGGCAGGTTCGACTCCCCAAAATTGCCCTGGACTTCTGCTTTCTGAATATTTGCTTCAACTCTTTTTGCAAAACACTACCTGCATCCAACATGGGAAAAGTATCATAACATCAGTGATAGAGGCTCGTTCAGATGTTGGTAAGACTGAGAACATTGGCAAGACACCCCATGAGAGTCGTTCATCTCACAGGATGTCGTAGGCCGTCCGCAGATTTATGAAGCCTCCTATAGCCTCAATTACAGCTATAATCTTCTCATATGAGCCCAAAACTGTTAATAATTCATGAGACCGCCTAAATTTTCTGCGTCCGGGCGGCTGCATTTCCTGTGTATTTAGTGACTTTAATAAAGACAACAACGACGACGAACGAAGACGACGGCTAACAGCGACAGACAATGATAACAGCAATCATAATAGCAACTACGACAGCAACAATGATAGCAAGCACACAGGAAACGAAGTCGCTCTAGCATACAATTCATATACACAGTTGCCGCTTGTGAATTCGCTGGGCGATGTGTAAAATTAAACCGTCGGAAGATCTGGGTTGGTTTGGACGACGTTGGGTCGCGTGGAGGCTCAGGGGCTAGTCGTGCAAAAATACAGTGTGCGACTACGAGGATCACAGTAGCATAACCCCTCCCCCACGTAGCGATTTTGGAAGTCTGCCCCTCCATCCAGGGCGGTGAGTCAGGGCAATTGCTTTTTTGACTCAGTGTGCGCCACTACCCCGCTGCAGCCAATACACTGGTCTGGTGCCCCTCGTTCCGGCTTTAAATAATTTTGACTGGTACATCTTCGATCGCGAGACGCAGGATTTTTGGTGAGTCAAAACCGACCCCGAGGTGACTCGCAATCAGCCTCGAAAGAGAACACCAGCCATTCATAAACACCGATCTCTTCCCCGGATTTCATAAACTGACAGGGGAAACTCTTCCAGGCAAATACCCCGCAATCCGCAACCATGGCCGACTCCAGCGCCCCCGAACCCCCCACCGAGCAGGTGGCCAAGCTTCTGCTTGACGAGGTCACCGGCGAGATGATCTCCAAGACCGAGCTTAAGAAGCGCCAGAAGGCCCGTGAAAGGGAGGCTCAGAAGGCTGCCAAGGCCGCCGCCGCCCCTCCTAAGCCTGCTGCTGCTAAGAAGGGCAACGCTGAGGCCGACGAGAAGAACCTCGACCCCAGCCAGTACTTTGAGAACCGATCTCGCACCATCAACAAGTACGTCTCACATCTGGGTCAATTGGATGGAAATATATGCTGATCTGACTGGAACAGGCTGCGCGAGACCAAGTCTCCCAACCCCTACCCCCACAAGTTCCACAGTAAGTCCCCCGAACCATTCCGCACCACGAAAGAACGGACCTGACACGAATGTAGCCGACTACGATCTGCGCAAGTTCACCAGTGACTTCGGACACCTCAAGTCCGGCGAGAGCGACAAGTCCAAGGTCATCCGCGTTGGTGCCCGTATCTACAACAAGCGTGCCTCCGGCAACAAGCTCTTCTTCTACGATGTCCGCGCCGAGGGCGTCAAGGTCCAGGTCATGGCTCAGGCGCAAGAGGTCGCCGAGGGCACCCCGTCGTTCGAGGACCAGCACCTTCACCTTCGCCGAGGTACATACCAGAATTCGATAATCGGAGGAGACATAGGCTGACATGGTCCAGGTGACATTGTCGGCATCATCGGCTACCCCGGAAGGTTCGTGTCGCGTGACTTGGTAAACAGGAAATCTCAATTCTAACGAAAACCCAACAGGACAGCACCCAAGTCCAAGATCGAGAAGGGCGAGGAGGGTGAGCTCTCCATCTTCGCGACGGAGTTCATTCTCCTGACCCCCTGCTTGCACACCCTGCCCGACGAGTACTACGGTTTCAAGGACCACGAGGAGCGTCACCGCAAGCGTTACCTCGACCTGATCATGAACGAGAAGAGCCGTCAGATCCTCATCGCCAGATCCAAGATCGTCACCTACATCAGAAGGTACTTTGACGACAGGGTTAGTTGGGCCTCATTCGCAAGCTTCACACCGAACCCTTGAAACTTACACCACACAGGATTTCGTCGAAGTCGAGACCCCCATGATGGGTCCCATTGCTGGTGGTGCCACCGCCAAGCCCTTCATTACCCACCACAACGACCTGGACATGCAAATGTTCATGAGAATCGCCCCCGAGCTTTACCTCAAGGAGCTCGTCGTTGGTGGTCTTCACCGCGTCTACGAGCTTGGCCGCCAGTTCCGCAACGAGGGCATCGACCTCACCCACAACCCCGAATTCACCACCTGCGAGTTCTACCAGGCTTTCGCCGATGTCTACGACCTCATGAAGACAACCGAGGAGCTCGTCTCCGGCCTTGTCAAGCACCTCACCGGCGGCTACAAGACCAAGTTCCACACCCAACACGGAGAGGTCTACGAGGTCAACTGGGAGGCCCCCTGGAAGCGCTTCGAGATGATTCCCGAGCTTGAGAAGGCCACCGGCGAGAAGTTCCCCCCGGCCGACCAGCTCCACACCGCCGAGACCAACGAGTTCCTCCAGAAGGTTCTCAAGAAGATGAAGCTCGAGTGCTCGCCGCCCCTGACCAACGCCCGCATGATCGACAAGCTTGTCGGCGAGTACATTGAGGAGCAGTGCGTCAACCCCTGCTTCATCTTTGGCCACCCACAGGTCATGTCGCCCCTTGCCAAGTACCACCGTGAAATCCCCGGTCTTTGCGAGCGTTTCGAGGCCTTTGTGTGCAAGAAGGAGATTGCCAATGCCTACACCGAGTTGAACGATCCCTTTGACCAGAGACTCCGCTTCGAGGAGCAGGCCAACCAGAAGGACCAGGGTGACGACGAGGCCCAGCTCATCGACGAGAACTTCTGCATGTCTCTTGAGTACGGTCTGCCTCCCACCGGAGGATGGGTACGTTTTGTTTCCTGATTTATATGAGGACCACGAATTAACAAACTGCAGGGTATGGGTATCGACAGAATGGTCATGTTCTTGACCGACAACTACAGTATTCGTGAGGTTCTTGCCTTCCCCTTCATGAAGGAGGAGAAGCAGGCGGAGAAGAAGGCCTCCGCCGCGGAGGTCGTTGGTGTCAAGCCCGTCCCTGAGGAGGGTATTGGTAAGTCTCACTCAGCCCTTCGTCGCTAGTTCATGTCTGACCGAACGTGTCGCAGCCCACAAGTAGAGGGTCAACACATTAGATGAATGGACTGGTATGTCAAGAGACAAATGATGTTGCCATCATTGTTTGTCATGAGGGCACTCGAAGGTGCCAACCAAAAACAAAAGATATCCGGCAGACATTCCATAGTCTAGAGTTGAGCTTCTATTTAAAAAAAAAAAAAAAAAGGTTTTAGACAGGAAATGTGATGACCCAAACCTCAAAGGGTGGCCGTGAAACGCATTCCGCCCCTATTGCGTGTTGCTACAATTGTTATACATATCTACTTTTTTGTGTTCATGTGCCATAATGCCATAATGCCAAATCGCTGCCATAATGCAGGTATCAATGCTATTTTAACTCAGGAAAAAACGCTAGTCTCACAGAACATGCCATTCAAGGCTTAATGTTCATGGCCTTGATCCGCTTCTGGACCATGGCGAGGGTGGACTTGGGCACGCGCAGACGGTGACCCAAGACCAGGGCGCCGGTCAACAGAGCCAGGGCGCCGGCCTGGTGCGTCGCGGCCAGGTGTGTGGGGACGATGTAGATGAGGGTGCTGATCCCGAGGGTGGCCTGCAGCAGCACGAGGTGGACGGTGCCGAGGACGCCCTTCTTGACGTCCTTGGGGAGGGCGGCGGCGACGCGGCCGGTGCGGGAGTAGGCGAAGAGGGAGAGGATAGCGGTCAGGGTGGTCATGGCGAGGATGCGGTGGTCGAGCTGGACGGTGCTGGGGTTCTCGAGCATGTTGCGCCACCAGAGATCGGAGCCGTCCTCCTTGCGGGAGTAGAACTTGTCCCAGAGCTCCTTGGCGGGAGGGGTCAGGCCGAGGCCCATGTAAGGGAACTCGTTGTAGATGAGGCCGGCGTCGAGGCCGGCGACGAGGGCGCCGGACATGGCGGTCGTGAAGACGAGGGCGACGAGGGCGAAGGAGAGGCGGCGGAAGGTCTTGATGGCCGGGTTCTGCAACGCGGCGAGGGCCTTGGAGGCGGCGACGGGGTCGGCGAGCAGGCGGCGCGTGCGGAAGATGGATAGGGCCGTCATGAGCATCCAGGAGTAGCAGACGAAAGCGGTGGCGAGGTGGGCGGTCAGGCGGTACTGGGAGACGCGGGGGTGGGAGCCGGGAGCGAAGAGATCGTCCTTGAGGCCGGACTTGACCATCCACCAGCCGATGAAACCCTGGAAGCCGATGAGGCAGGAGATTCCGCAGAGGTTGAGGGCCATCTTGGGCGTGACGCGGCGGCGGGCGATGAAGTACAGGGTCGGCAGGACGAAGGACATTCCGATGAAGCGGCCCCACAGGCGGTGGGACCACTCCATGAAGTAGATCTTTTTGAACTCGTCCATGGTCATGTGCGGGTTGAGGAGCTTGAACTCGGGAGAGGCGCGGTACTTTTCGAATTCGGATTCCCAATCGGCTTCGTTACGAGGGGGCATGGAACCAGTTACGGGACGCCATTCGGTGATACTCAAGCTGGTCGCGGTGTTAGTCAAGCTTCAAAAGAGTTGTCGAGGTTCAGGCATACCCAGATTCAGTCAACC